TGGCTTATCAAGGCTGAATGGCTAGATGGAATATGCTGTGCAGGACTTCAGCTCATGCCACGTGGCACACCAAAGCTCCCCAGCTGCTTGGAGTTGCTGGGTGGGACCCTACTAGGTTCTGCATGATGCACCAAGGCTGCATGGCTAGGTAGAGTTTGCTGTACAAGTTTTCAGTTTATGCCACATGGTGCACAAAAGCTCCCCAGTTATTTAGGGTCACTGGGTGAGGCCCCACCAGGATCTGAGCAATATATTAAGCTCCATGGCTCTTTGGGGTTTCTGGGAAGGGCCTTACCAGGTTCTGAGAAATGTACCAAGGCTGCATGGCTAGGTGAAGTTCACTGTTCAGGACTTCAGCTCATGCCACTCAGTGCATGGTGGCTCCCCATCTACATGGGGTCCCTGGTGGGGTACCAGGCTCCAAGTGACATACCAAGGCTGCACGACTATGTGGATTATGATGTGTAGGCTTTCATCTCACACTACAAGCTGCATCAAAGCTCCCCAGCTGCCCCAACAAGATGATTTAAAACATTTTGAGTTTGGCCAGAAAGGAAGCTACAGTAAAGCTATGGACTGCAAAGCTAGAGCTGAGGAAATCTCAATTGTTGAAAAGGAACAAGAGAATTTTTAAAATGTCCTGAAGGCATCACAAAAAGCAGCAAGTCTTGAACTTTTGCAGCCTCAAACCTGCAAAAGTGAAAGACTTTGCTTTGAGATGCAAGCTGCAGAGCACCATGTTCCAGAATGGTGGCAGTGGCCACATCAGGTTTCAGAATGGCAGCAGCATAGATAAGCTGTTCCTCAGAATCAGGTTCAGAGTGCTTATTGATCCAGGTACTTGATCCTCTACAGCCAAGAGAGAGGAAGGCCTGGCTACTGCTCCCACTGGCAGCAGACCTCAGCATCATCTACATGGCACTGGTTTTTAGGTGCATATAGAATGCACAGATTCTAAGGCTTCCACTACAATTACAGAAGGCCTAGGAGGTCAGGCAGTGTACTCTGAGAGGGCAGTATGTGAAGCTGTGAATGTGAAGCCAAAGATGCAGTGGAGACATCAGCAGTTTGGAGAAGTGTGGATCATCTAAAGGAAGGTTCAAGGAGGGAGCAAAGCCAGCCTAAGGGAAAAGCTGTGGGATCTGTAGCCACCAGAAGTGTTGTAGGGGTGGAACCACACAAGCTCTCTTTGGAGCACACAATTTGCCACAGATTGCTTCAGATGCTGAATGTGCAACTACAAGACTTACTGTTTGCCTTGCTGGATTTTGGACTTGCTTTGGTCCCAATGCTATGTATCCCCCTGTTGTACTCTTTGGAATGGGAATGTTTATCTTGTGGCATTGCATGTTGGAAATGTTTAACTTTGTTCAGGGGCTTGCAGCTAAGGTTTGCCTTACATCTTGGAGAAGACTTGGGACTTGGACTTTTCAGCAATGTTGAAACGGTTAGGACTTTGGAAACTTACAGATGGACTAAATGCCTTCTGCATAATGGGATGTGCATGAGTCTTTGGGGGGGCCTAGAACAAAATATTGTTTTTAATGTAATTAAATGTTGATAGACTTAATGCTGGTTCTTAAGGACTGTTAAACGTGTGTTATAATGTTCAAGTTGTGAAATGTTAAGAATAAGCATGTCTTGTATCTGGAAACAGGTTTAAAGAAATGTGTATGGTTGCCAAGTTGACAAGGAGTGGTTTGCTATGGTTGATACATTGTGTCAACTTGAGACTTTTAGAAATTTAATTAAGTGGTTCAGCAAAGGGCCAGGGTCCTTAATTTGTAGCAGCCTCAACCTGTGCAAGAGGAAGGCATGTAGCTGGTGTGACTGCTACACCCACACAAGGCAGGTGTAGCCTGCTTACAATATGAGAGAGGAGAAAAGGCTTGTTCCCTCACCCTTTTGCTCTAGCTGCTTTTGTTAGCTGCTGCCTTGAAGTGTTGTCTTGGTGCCATGCCATCCTGCTTTGGAGCCAGCTGATTATGGACTGAAACCTCCACAAACAGTGAGTTAAATAAACATTTCCTTCCTTCATTTTGGGTGTTGAGTATTTTGTTCCAGAAATGAGAGAAAAGTAACCAAGACACTATCTACCTATCATCTATTAGCATCAGTCATAGATCTATCTGATCATATATCTGTCAGTCTATGTAGTGTACCCAGCATGAACCTAGGGGAACGGTCAACTCTGAAGTGGTTCAACTAAAGAGATTGCCTAGCTTCCTTGGAAAATGTCAAAAGTCATTCATTTGAGCTTCACATGGTTAGCACTGGGAACCATTGAGGGTAGGTGACTTGTATCAGGTTTCACAAGTCAGAAAAGCAAGGACAAGAATTAGAGACATTCACTTTGGGCATCTGTCTAATGGTAGTACTACTTTTTTTGATTGCAGGGATAAATTTAACCCACAAGAAAATATGGAAGCACTGTTGGCTCCTCTTCTCTCACATACCAAATTCCATCTTTCAAGAAATCTACCTGGCCCTTTCTTTAAATTCTATCTACTTCAGCTACCTCTCATAACCTCCAGAGCTTTCTCCCTGGCCAGGCTCCCAACCTTCTTGAGCTCTTCACTGTAACCTCACCTGTAGTCTTCTCTCAAGGAAGCAACAAGTGTGACAGTGTTGACATATCGGCTGGCATCAGTTCTCTGTACACACCTTCCAGAGTGCCATGCTGAGCCTTCTGGAGCACATGTGGCTACCCTGTGGCTACTGCCCTCACTGATCTGTTGCACCCCCTTGGCTCTGTACTTGCCTGAACCCTTGCTCTGAAATTTTCCTTCTTCTTTTTTTAGTGTGAAACACGCAGACCTCCTTGTTTCCTCGGGAACAAATGTAGTCTTTTGCACTAGCTCTTTTCTTGGCCCATATAGCTCATACTCTCACACCTCAAACTTTTCCTGAGTATCACTTTTGCAGTGAGGCCACTTCTCACTGCTCTGTCGAAAGCATACTTCACTTTTCCCAGCTGCCAAGGTTCCCTATTTCTTATTTCTTTCCTGTTCCCATGGAACTTATTCCCATCTAATATAGAATATATTAACTTGCTAAGTGTATCATTGATCTCTTCCACTGGAATGCAAGGCCACAAATGTAGGTATCCTTGTCTATTTTACTTACAGACACATCTCAAGTTCATAGGAAGGTGGTTGGCATATAGATGGTGCTCAATAAATACCAGTTGACCAAAAAAGGAAACCAGCAGAGTCTGACCTGAGACAGGTTGTGCAGAGCCTTAGTTTTGTGTGCTGGTTTCTGCATTGCCCACTTTGTCAGAGAGTGTGCCTCTCACTTTTGGACACACTCAAACTCTTCCCTACTGTGCTTCTGTGGGCATCCATCTGGCCAAATAATAGATGGCATAATAGTTGTTTGCTTTTCTTTTTTTTCTTATGTATGTTTTTGTTAGCACATGTTTGCAATACATAACGATTACAGCCTTTGTGGAGAGTTGGTTCAGGTAAACAACACATCTTCATTCTTTTCTGTCCCCTTTCTGCTCTCATTCCTCCCTGCTCCTTAGAACTCTTGAGTTCCTCCCATTTGACAAAATCTCTATTTCCATTTTCTCTTCAATTCTCTCCTTTAAAAGTTTTTGCCACCCCCTATCCATCTCTTATTCCCTTTCCCATTTGAAAGAAGATCTTCCTACTTCATGTATCTATCCTTTATTTTGCTTATATTTTGGGCTTCTCATATATGAGAAAACATAGTATTTAAACTTGTGCAGCTGGTTTATTTCACTCAATAGCATGGTCTTGAGGTTCATTCATTTATCTATGCATATCTCACATTTATCTTCCTTCTGGCAAGGTAGTTCTCCATTGTGAATAGATATCTCATTTTCTTTATCCATTCATCTCTTGATGGATATAGAGGCTGCTTCCAAGGTTTAGTTATTGTAAATTGTGTTGCTATAAGCATGGGTATGCATGTATTATAATATGATGAGTTAAATTCTTTTGGGAAGAATCCCAGAAGGTAAGTAGTTTGGTCAAAGAGTTGCTTTTTTTTTTTTTAAATAGAAATCAATTTATAGGTATCTCCCTGTCCTGCCCCATTGACTTAGTTCACTCCCAGAGCTCTGTCCTGCAGACTCAGGGACAAGGCTATCTTGCTGATGCTCCCTAGATTCAAGTTGGGCCCCAAACTCTCTGTATTCATCTTACATTCTTCTCATACAAGGTGATTCTGTTATCTGTGTCTTCTGTGAGGAATGTATGTGTGTGTGTGTGTGTGTGTGTGTGTGTGTGTATGTGTGTGTGTGAGGAGGGTGTGTCTATCTATTTTCTTGTGCCTCCTTGCAAGCCTGTTTCTCTGAGGGGGACTTCAGAGGTTGTTTTTCATTTTTGTCTTCACTCACAGAAAACTTCACCCCAGGCCTGGGGGCTGGATGGTTTGGTAGGGGTTGTATTGTATTCTAGCAAAAGACAGGCATTTTCTCCTACTGCACCCCATTGCCAGGCTGTCCTGGGCATGGCACAGAGGTGTCCTGTATGTTGAGGAAGGAGGTGGGTCAAACAGCACCTGGCCTATGGCCTTGTCTTTGTGAGAGATCTCACACCCTGATAATTTCTCCAGGGAAGAATGCAGGTGAAGGTAGTCACAGGAAGGCTTTGAAGAATTCCTTTGCGTGTGCTGGCCTGGAAGCGTGGGACAGTGGGCTTGAGTGGGACACAGGACGCCTTGGTCTGCCCATGTGGGATAATGACCCCTTGTCCATTTACAGTGTTGGAGAGAGACTAGGGGCTTGAGATATGTCTAGGCCTGTGAGGTTGAAATATCAGGGGGCAGGTTTATTGTGATGCAGGCTGTCCTCGAGATGTCCATTAAAAAAGGCAGGTTTCATCTCTGCTCTCAGGCTGCCTAGCAGGAAGTTCCCATACTCATAAATAGTGTCCATAGCTTTCCCTGACCTTTTATGTGGTCAGAATTCCTTTCTGCTGCCTGATAAAAGGCAGATGCAACAACAGACCTTAGAGAGAGCTCTGGTTCTTCAGTCCCCTCCACCTTCCCTGGTCTGTCTGGGATAGCAGAGGCATGGCGAGCCGCTCCTACCGTGTCAGCTCTGGCTGTGGGGTCAGGAACTTCAGTTCCTCCTCTGCTGTTGTACCCAAGCCTGGGACTCATAGCAGCATTGGTGCTGTGTCCTACCATGGGGGCAGTGCTGGGGTGCCAAGCTATAGGCGCCTTGGGAACTTTGGTAGCCGGAGCATGTGCGTGGTGGGGTCACCTCAGATGGCAGTGAGTTACAGAAGGCCCCTACGCAGTGGTGGCAGCTTTGGTTACCGAGCAGGTGGCCTGTGTGGGCCCAGCCTTCCCTGCATCTCCACTGTGATGGTCAACGAGAGCCTCCTCACACCCCTCAACCTGGAGATTGACCCCAAGGCGCAATGCGTGAAACAGCAAGAGAAGGAGCAGATAAAGTGTCTTAACAATAAGTTTGCTGCCTTCATCGACAAGGTGGGTGTCCTGGATTGCACTGTTTCTGAACAAGGTGGGTCTGTGTGCTGTTCTCTGGGGATGTGGCTTAGGAAGGGGCAAGGGACTTGGATCCTGATGATAGGTAGGAGAGTGCGGGTGGGAGCACAGTTGTCTTAAGGAGATGCTGCCATCTTTGGCAAAGAGATAGGGGCTAGGACCACGAGGGGCCAGAGGCTCATTTTCTTCTTCTTGGTGGGGGCATTGCAGCAAGGCTATGAATCCTCAGTGCTTCTACTCAAGGCACCTTCCACCCCTGAACTGCAGATAGAAGACAATGAATTTAAAAATGTAGAGGCTGTGAAGAGCATGCTGAATTGCACTTTGCTCACAATGAAGTTTTCTGTTGTGTAGATACTGCTGATTTCCTTTAACCTAACGGTGCCGCTGTAAGTACTCACTATCTTTGGAGAACACCAGCCACTGATATTTAAGGGAGGAAAGGATTATCTTCCAGGGCTGACTGGTGTGATGCCCAGGGCCATAGACTGTGTAGGGAAGGATGGGCCAGGGTGATAGTGATGGGAGCTCTGGTCTCAGACAAACACCATCCTCAGCAAGTGTGCTGTACTTCCATTCTCAATACGCTACAGCCACTCTGCCCTTGCATTGTCATCATGAAGCTGATCGTGTGGCTAGGCAGTTTGTCTGTTGCATAGGACACACACCCAGAGCCAGGAAGGTGGATATCCAGCCCATGACTTGCTTATGGGCTGTGTGCCTTGGCAGGAGCTGCATCTGTGCACTGAGGGCCCTGAACATGCTGATGCAAAGAGATCTTTGCATATGGCCTTTTGGATGTCATCCATGGCTGCTGCTGTCTCTCTGTCTGGCTTTACCATCTCTGCGTTGCAGACTGCAGGAATACGGTTGGTTAGTACTGTAGAGCAGCAAGCGGGAGGGCTTCCCCAAGCCCTTGGCCTGCATGGTGACTCTCAAAGCAGGCACCTTTTGGATAATCAGGATTTTGTTTCCTTTCTCACAGGCATGGTCAGATGAAAGTTCTTTGTATGAAGTTTAAATTCCCAGGGGGTTAGGCTTGAGAGAGCATCATCTAGTTGGGGGCTGGCACTGGCAAACTTAGGTGCGTGCCTGGAAGGTCACATAAGTGCAGCCGAACAGAGAGGCAGGCTGGCCTGCTAGTCAGCACTAGCCTCAGGCTTTTACTGTTAGAAATTCTGATTTGTCAAAAGGGTCATAGATCCAGATTTTTGTCTTAAATCACGTAATTACTAAGTGTTGGCGACTGGTCAGGTTTCTATAGAACCGTGTGTAGGCCAAATAGGCCTCAGCTATGGGCCTGATAGAGCTGAACAGCTGCCAGTAACTAATTCCTGTGGTCTCAGTGTACAGTGAGGCTCAGAGGGAATGAGATAAAGTGGCCTGGGTGGTGGCACAGTTAGGGTGGCAGAGTTATTCTAGTAGGGGCAACCCATCTTGGGCTCCCATGACCAAGATCCAAATGAGAGGCATGGTACGTGTATATTTTTTTAATTGCAGCATACAAATTATCAGTTTAAAGGAACACACAGTTCCCTTCCTGTGAGGCTGACAGCTGCACGGGAGAGGGCTGTGTTTGTTTTTTGGAGATCCCAGAGAGAATCCGTTTCCAGAGGCATTCAAGCTTTTGGCAGAATTAAGGTCAAAGTTGTTGTAGGGTTTATGTCCCTGGTCCTTAGTAGCTAGCTACCAGAGATTGTTCCCAGTTTCTAAAGACTTCCCACAGTCCTTGGAAAGTGGCCCCTTCTTTATTCGTCTTCAGAGCCAGTAATAGTGGGTAAGCTCCTTCTCATGTGTCAAATTTTGTTCTGCCTCCATATGAGCATCTCATTGACTTTTGTGGCTTCCTCTTCCACCCTGAAGGAGTCCTGTGGTACCTTTTGCTCATCTGAATAATCCAGGGAAATCTCACATGTTCAAGTCCATAACCTTAATTTCAGCAATAAGAGTTCTTTTAAGGTCCTCATGTAATATAGGGCATAAGGGAATAGGGCATGTGTATCTCTGAGGAGTCATTGTCCCATCTGTCACATGGAGTCTGCAGGATGAGGTAGTGTTTCATTTGGTGCACAATGAGTGGACAACTGTAAGTTGTGCGTTCTTTCTAGAAGGTGAAGACAGGTAGAGGGAAGTTATATGGGGGATGATTATGATTTGCACTTTCAGATTTTGCCACCGATTTGACCTCTTTGAGAAGGTCACAGGTGGCTGCAGAGTATGGGCCATCCCAAGGGCTAAGAGGCCTCGGGGGACCAAGCCCCCTCCCCAGGGTCCTCATTGAGTCTCTTTCCTTCACCTTGACTGGCAGGTGCGCTTCTTGGAGCAGCAGAACAAGCTGCTGGAGACGAAGTGGCAGTTCTACCAGAACCGCGAGTGCTGCCAGAGCAACCTTGAGGGGCTGTTCCAGGGCTACATCCAGACACTGAGGCGAGAGATTGAATATGTAGAGGGTGATGCTGGGAAGCTGGCCTCGGAGCTCAATCATGTGCAGGAGCCGCTGGAGGGCTTCAAGAAGAAGTGAGCAGGACAGGGTGGAGGACAGTTATTGGGAGTGGTGTCGGTTTTAGATGAGGCTAAATGGCTGTCCTGGAGGCAGGGCTACAGAAGGTCGGGGTCACCCTGGTTCCTACCACCTGGTTCTACTTTACAGCCTATTTTGTTTTGCCTCAACTTCTGGCTCTCACAGCTCTTTCTAGGCACTAGGGTAAGAGTTGAAGAGAAGTAGAGTCCCAGCCTGAGAGGGATGGAATACACTCTCTAGGGCACAGACAGGGAGAGAGAGAGAGAGAGAGAGAGAGAGAGAGAGAGAGAGAGAGAGAGAGAGAGAGAATAAAACAAGAGGCCAAGGCCAGGAGGGCTGGAGAACAGACAGGAGCAGCCAACCCCAGGTATAAAGATAGAGGCAATGGGAGAGATTTCTTGAACGTAATCTGCCAATACCACTCAAGGTATTCAAGGACTTTAGATCATTTTCTCTTTTACTCGGCAGATAAACCATCAAGCTTTCCTTGTGCAAGGCTCCATAATTTAAATACAATGTAAATCTTTCATTTCAGCCTGGTTATTTAGTTTGGTCATTGTGTAATCTAAACTCACTATTAATATTCTCCTTTATACATTGTAAGATATGGACAGAATGAAAGGTGATTTTGACATTAATTGGTCCTGGTCATTTTAACCTTAGTTTTCTTCAGAGTTCTGGTCTTAGAAGATCAGGTTTTGCCAGTCAGAGGGACATAGCAAGGATATTTTCTTCCCTTGTAGTGAAGCAATGCAGATATCCTTTTCAGGGCCCAGGTCAAGGTGTACCTCCCGCTCTTGGCATGTGAGATCTGGTAATTATGGAACCAAGAGTTTATTATAAGTTGCAATTTCCCTGTAATTAAAACGTCGTAGGCACCACTCTCTGAGAACTCTGTCATCCTTGCTGACTGCTTCAGGGAGGAGATCCTATTGGCTTGGAGAAGGGGGCGAGACCAGTGGGGGAGAAATGCCCCTGAGCCATGGGTTACTTCCAGGAGGAACTCAAGTTCTGGTATATAGGGTCAGGAGGAACAGAAGTGGAGAGGGGCTGTCTTTAGAGAGCTTCATGTTTTGCTCAATTTTAGAGTTGAAAGACTCTGGAGAACATTTGTCTGCCTTTCACTTGGCCCACAAAATTTGCCTTATACCTCATCACATAGCAGGTGATTTAAACCGTGATACATCACTGGGCTCAGACTTTGCAGTAACTTCAGCCCAAGTGGCTTTTTGTTGGGTTCTTCTTGGCTAGGAAACAGAAGTTCAGAGAGGCCAAAGCTCTTCTCCAAAGACACACAGAAAATAAGCGGAAAGCCAGGGTGTTTTGCAGCCCTGGCCTCCAGCTGATCGGCTTTTCTCTTGTCTACTCTCTTCAGATATGAAGAGGAGCTGGCCCTCCGGGCCACAGCTGAGAATGAGTTTGTGCTGCTAAAAAAGGTGAGTGACTCCTGTCACATGGGGAAGAATGAAATGTTAAACACTGGAAACTCTGCTACTGGGTGGCCTGTCACATTCCCGTAAATCCAGTTGGTGGTGGCAACGACTTAAAACTCCTGACAGATGACAATGGGCTGGTTTGGCTGCAGAAGTCATGTTGACCACTATTTAGTACCCAGACTGTGTTGATGAGCGTTCTGGAGAAAAGAACCTCCTGGTGCAGTGCTGTTGGGCATCTTCTATGCAGCTGGGTTAGCTGAGATGTGCACTATGAAATCTGCCCTGCTCTGGCCTGGCCACAGCCTATTCCCACCATACTACATGGGGGTGGGGTGGCGTGCTGGCTGGTGGTTTTTAACTTGCTGAGATTTGTGAGTCTGTGTGCATTTAGTAGTGATGGCTGTCATTCAGTGCTATTAGAGAAGATGGAAACACCAGAGGGTAAAAAGCTACTCATGGAATTTTTTTTAAATTTCAAAGTGATGAGTAAAAGTATATGGATGTGTTCTTCAGCAAATAGCCTGCTTGCCAGCCTCTGTAATGTCAATTATTGTGGAACTGAAGGAGAGCTCATGAAAATCTGGTAGTGCAGGTCTCAGGCAGAAGAGTCAGCTTGCTTTACTCTAGGGACAGCTTGGCTGAGATGAAGCAGCCTGACTTTCTGGGCTACGATAATCAGGCTTTCTGTTCAGCAAGATCCTCAGGAGTGAAGAGGTGAATGGCTCTCCACTTCCCTTCCCCTGGCAGTCAGTTCTGCTGCATGCGATTTATCCCACAAGAGGGAATGTGAGGGGCAAACAGCAAAGAGAGCCCCAAAGGGGAAGACAAAGAGTCCAGGTTCCAGCTGTGAGTGCATTAGCCCTGCAATTTGGGGAGGAGGAGGAGGAGCATGCGCATTCCCCACCCTCTCTGGTCCATCTCCCTTAGGACATAGACAATGCTTTTCTGCTCAAATCAGACTTGGAAGCCAGGGTGGAACTGCTGATCAGGGAGATTGCCTTCCTGCGGTCCCTGTATGAGGAGGTAAGAGGATGGGGAGGGGAGATGGGAAGGGATCTCTTGAGCTGTGCCCTATCCTGGTTCCTGGGTTTTCTGGTAAGTTGGGCATTGCTTACCTTCTTAAGCCCTGAAGATCTTTCCTTCTATAACCAGAGGGTGTTCCTCTGGCTTCAGGCCTCCTTTCCAAATGGGAGCAGGTGAGGCTCTTCTTTGAAGATGATTAGAAAGACTGGCTTATCCCTTGTTCACTCAGCAGGACATAACACGAAGATTTGACAAGTCATTTATTGATTTGGCCATTGTAAAAACTCAACTAGAAAATCCAGAAGTTTCACTTTGGGTGTTCTCTGGTGGATTATATTGGCACAGATGGCTACAGCTGATCTGGTAGCTTGGTCCTTGAGGTGGAGCGATCCAGCCACTCTGCATATATCTAAACCTGTTTTGGTGATGCTGACCCAGGCACTAGTAGAATTCTCCCTCATACGTTGCATAGGCTCATAGCCCAAATTCCAGCCTTTTCCTTTAAAAGTCACGCTTTTACAATTGATGGTCATTTTCTAATTTTTTCTAAGGTGTCCTAGTTGGGGCGGTTTTGAGGATTGCCTGAGAGATGGGATGGGAGTAGGATTCATTGCCAAGGGCTGTGTGTTGTCTTCTACAGGAAAACTCCGTCCTTCAGTCACAAATCTCTGAAACCTCAGTGGTGGTGAAGATGGACAACAGCAGGGAGCTCAACATGGATGTGGTTGTGGCCGAGATCAAGGCTCAGTATGCTGACATTGCCAGTCGCAGCAGGGCTGAGGCTGAGGGCTGGTACCAGACCAAGGTAAATGGGAGGGCTGGGCTCCCCACAGAACAGGCAGGTGGCTATACCCCCGAAGCTCCCCTGGGACAGGTGCTCATGCACCGCAAAGGGGCTGTGGCTGGGAGCAGGGCAGGAGGTGCAACTGTGGCAGACGGTAGGCAGGTTGGCCAGCCTCTCCGGGGACATCACACTCTGTCCTTCAACTGCTCGGTCTATGTGTTGTCACACATCCTGCAGTGCCAGGAGATGAAGGCTACAGTGACCCAGCAGGGTGAGAACCTCCGCAAAAGCAAAGAGGAGCTGAACAAGCTGAACCGTGCGGTCCAGAGGCTGACGGCCGAGGTGGAGAACGCTAAGCAGCAGGTCAGGAACACTCAGACTCCACCTGGGACCTGTGCTTCTCATCTGGTTCTCCTTTGCTCCTATTTTTGGGGGCTGCTGCTATCTTTAGAGTGGTTTGCATTTTCACTGCGCCAGAGATTTTGCCATTTGGCTTCTTCCTGCATTTTTGGTCACCAGATTTTCCTCTTTTTGTAAACCTGGTAGATGTAAAATTGGAGTTTAATTGTTTTCATTTTGATTAACTGGTGATATGGAACTTCTCCTCACACACATACTCGTCATTGGTGTTTCTCATGCTAAGAATTGCCTATTTATATCATCTGCCCATTTTCTAGTGGGATTTCTGTCTTTTTGTTGTTGTTTTGGTGGCACTGGGGGTTGAACCCAAGACTTTTGCACGGAGTTACATCCCAGATCTTTATAAATTTTTAAAAGTTTTGAGACTGGGTCTCACTAAGTTGCCATAGTATCGAGGATGGGCCCAAACTTGCCATCTTCCTGTCTCCCAGATTAATGGCATTATAGACCTGAGCTCTCATGCTTGATTTTTGCCTTTTTTCTTGGTGACTTGCAACACCGCCTCATGTATTCTATATAGATTATGGCCTACAGTTAATTGACTTCTCAATCTGTTATAGTTAATTGACTTCTCAGTCTGTTGCTTGTCTGTTTGTCTGAAATCTTAAGCCTAATATGGCCAGGCGTATTGTTTCTTCCCTTAAGGGTTTATGGTTAGAAAGTCTTGAGATAGCAGAGATATCGTCTCATATTTTTGTCATCTATTACATTTATAAATTTACCTCTCACATCTTTACTCCATTTGAATTTTATTTTTTTATATACAGTGAAAAGGGTCCTAATTTAATTTTTCTTTCTTTTTTAAAAAAAATTTCTATACAGAGTAAGAAAACAAATAATGTGATCTCTTTCTCGGTACTACCTCTAGCACAATGCTGAGGTCACACACACACCTGGCTCATTTTCCATGCTCTCTCTTCTGTGTGGCTATTGAATGCAAGATACATCATCAGTAACTTGTTGCTCATTGTAACTAAATTAATGAAACACAAGAATGTGTCACTTTATGGAAGTGAATTAAAGAAGACTTGAATTGTTGTGCCTCTTAACCTTGCTGGTGTTCATTTGCATTCCACTGTGCTGTGTGATGGGAGCCGCTGTGCTGGGAGTTTCTCTTTCAGTGTGCTGAGCTCAAGGCCAAAGAATGAAACCCGTGTATGTGTGCATGTGTGTGTGCGCATGCGTGCGCTTCTGTGTGTGTGTGTGTGTGTGTGTGTGTGTGTATGCGTGTGCTTCTGTGTGTGTTTGTGGTGAGGTGAAACCATGTATGGAGATTTTAGAAAACCTGGGCTTGTCACTACATACTTGGAAAGCCCAGGACAAGTTGCATCTTCTCTGAATCTCAGTTTCTTCATCTGCTTAGTGGGAATCGTAATGCCTGTTCTGACAAGCCTGAAGGATAACTTTGAAGGTCAAACAAGACAGTACCTGTGAAAATGCCTTGTAAACTAATCCAGATATATGGCAGTAGCACTAATTATTATCTGTGCTATTCTAATGTTTATGTTTTCTCCCTCTAGGCTCCCGTGTAAAACTCAAGTGAATTTTACAGTGAAGTGGTACAAAAATAAAGAAAAAAAGCTCCAAATGAACTATTATTTCCCCATGTAGTTAATTTTCCAAGGATACATTTCATTTAAAAAGCATCAAGTTCAAAAATTGACCATTTTAAATGGAGGCAAAATTGGTGATCAAGACCGCTGGAAGCCCAGCAGCCACTCTCACAGGTCAAACCCTTTGCAAACTTCTTCCCTCCTCTCTTCCCCCACAGCGCTGTAAGCTGGAAGCTTCCATAGCTGGCGCAGAGCAGCAGGGTGAGGCAGCCCTCAGTGATGCCCGATGCAAGCTGGCCAGGCTGGAGGAGGCCCTGCAGAAGGCCAAGCGGGACATGGCCTGCCTGCTCAAGGAGTACCAGGAGGTGATGAACTCCAAGCTGGGCCTGGATGTGGAGATTGCCACTTACCACAAACTGCTGGAGGGCGAGGAGAGTCGGTGAGGATAGGGACTCGGAGGTCCCTTTACATTTCCACTCAGGACTGGAAGAGCCCAGTTGAATTATAGCTCTCCAGGCAGAGAATGTTCAGACTAAGATCAGTTCAAACTGATTATGGGATTCAATTATCCCCCCCCCCCATTTTATAGATAGGGAAGCTGAGTCCAGAGGGGGAATGTGTTTCCCCAGTATCAGAGCCAATTGATGGTACACTAAAAAAGACATGGGTCTGGTGCAAACATAGAGGAACTTGGTTCTGATGTTTCTCTTCCTCTTCCCCTGACCCCTGCAGGTTGTGTGAAGGTGTGAACTCAGTCAACATCTGTAAGTTGAGCATATGTAAGCTTGGCTCTCTTGGGTATCATCAATCTGGCCATCAGGTCACATCAAACTGAGGACCAACTCTATCTATGGGCACTGGGTGAAGAGGTCAGAGTTGGAGACTAGGAAATAAACAAACTGGTGATCCATGATATTTGGTCCCCATGTAGATTCATCTGGAGTGTCTGTGAAGCATGAGTAAATTAATGTGGCAAGTTCTGCCACCTTCACGGTTTCTATAAAACAGGTTTAGCCTTTCTGTTACACACAGAATACCCTTCCCATGGCCCCATGTTTTAATAAGAAATACAAAACTTATATTCTGATCACTCGGGGCCTCTGATCAGCTAGCAACCGTGATGGTTAGAATTCTACTGTGTACACAGCCCCTACGGCAGGCGTCTGCTTTTGACCATCCATTTCCTTCAGTTTTGTAGCACCCATATTTCTAGATGATTCCTCTGGTGTGATCTACCCATTTGTGCCCAAATTGTGCATGAACACATCTCAACACTAGTCTAGTCCAAGTAGAGTGAGATGTTCAATTTGCTACTCACGTTCCTTCAAGAAGCAGATGACAATGGGTTTAGGCATGTCTGTAATTTTACAAGTTTCATGTTGATGGTCCCTCAAAATATGAAGAGAATGAATCATTTGTGTAAGCAGACCCTGGGTCATACCGTGTCTGGTATGGGAGAGACTTCTGACCTGTCTCTTTCCACAGGTGTGAGCCGATCACAAGGTGGCGTGATCAGTGGGGATCTTGGTTCCAGTGTCTCACGGAGTGTGGGGGCTGTGGCCAGCAACAGTGTCCTGTGTTCCCCCTCTGTCATGGGGCCCTGCTCCAGTGCAAGGTCTGTGTGTTTTGCATAGACAGGCTGCACTCTAGACCAAGTAGGTCTTCTGGGGGCTGGGGGGAGAAAACTTTTTTCTTGTGACCCCAAAGCTACTTCACTGGCCATAGAAGTAGCTCTCCAGTTTCCTTCTTATTGGAGTTATGATTTACTTTTTGAATGTAAACCCTGGGCTTGGTAGGGAGCTGGGTGGGGGGGGTGTGCAACATGAGGGGTCATCTTTGGGAGGAGACTTTGCTCTTGATGTGAGGAGCTGTAGGTGCTGCCTCAGCATGGAGGGGACAGCAGAGGCAGTGGGGCTGAGGGAAATCCTTCACCTGATCTGAGAGATTGGATATTCTGGGAGTCCCCAAACTATTTGATATGACAGAATGAGAAGACTGGCTGAGGTTAATCAGTAGAATCCATGCTCTTGGTTGCTTGGAATTGTTCAGAATTCGCATGATTCCCCACAAGGCTCCTCCTTTATTCTTTTGATGTTCTTGATTAAATATTGATGGCTACAAGTTTTTCCTTACTGAATTCCTTTATTACTTTCCCCACTCACCCAGAGCCCTGATTGTTTTGGTGGTTGTCAGAGTATGACCCATGGGTGACCACCTGCATCTGGATCCCTTGGGGCTACTTGTCAAATATGCAGCTCCTGAGCTCCATCTAAAATGTGAAGTTAAGTCCAGCAAGCTTCTGGGAAATTGCTATACAATGCAGGGTGTGAGGACCACTATTTCTTGTGGGCAGAGGTAAGAGAAGGGTCAAATAATTTTAGAAATGGAGATGACTTTCCCTCTGATTCTCTCAGGATCATGTTAGTTCTTTTGCATCCTTCCTTTAATTATTCTGAAAGGTCAGATTCATATCCTGGTCCCCATACATACCAGCATAGGGTACATACAGTAAAGGCCAACAAGAGGAGGAGAAGGGATCCTGCATTCAATTTAGCACCTGCTAAGTGTTTGGCATGTAATATATGCATTTTACTCATGTTTTTATAGCAATAGCATTATTATCCCTTTTTATGGGCAAGAAAATTAAGATTGAAAGAAGTGACTTTACTAAGATCATAAATCTGGCCCAGAATGTCCACTCAGATTAGGTTTACATAGCTTTACTCTACATTCCCTGATTACTCCTTCAAGCTCAATGCTCTGGTTCCTCTGGTGCTGCTGGATGACGGTTTCTACTTGGTTTACTAGTTGTGAACATTTTAGGAATAAGAGATGGGAGAGGATATAGAGACTCTTGGTGTCTTAGTTACTTTATGTGCATCGCTGAGACAAAATACCTGATGCCCAAGTTGGGAAAGGAAAGGTTTATTTCTCACAGTTTTTGGAGGTTTCAGTCCACACTCAGTTGGCTCCCAGGCAGGTGGGCATGGCTGGGGCAAAGTTCATGGCGGCTGCAAACAGCAAGCTGGAACCAACAAAGAGAAAAACACACCTTCCTCCTGCCATTACATCACATCCTGGCTCCACCCCCTTGTGGGTGGAGCACTGACACCATCAACCAAAGCGCTAGACAATGAACGAATAACAAATGCACAATTCAAACTCATGAGACCTGAGGGACACAAACATAAACCATGACACTTGGGAACATTTGTGGAAATATTTTCTATAGCCCATGCTCTCCAAGAATCATGGACAGATCATGTAATAGGGTGGTTAAAACAGGTTTCTTCTGGGAGAACCCAGACTTGAAACCCAGACTTCTGATTGGAGGCCGCTTTTCTGATGGCCTGTACAGAGACCGTGGATTGGCGAAGTCAACGTCTAGCTTGTCCCTGGACTGACAGACCTGGGGGAGCCTGCCCAGAGTCTCCTTTGGTGCTGGGCGTCCCACTCTGGATGTGATGAGATGGAGATTGGGATTTCAGGTGGAAGGTTTTTTTCCCCTTCTTGTTTCAGGAAAACACTACTTCTCCCACTTTATTTTATTTGAGAGATTTTAGAAATGAGGTCTTTTTAAAGATAATTTTACCATAGGAATATATACTTGACTGAGACAGAGAGAAGCAGTTGAACAGTATTCCCTGGCACATGCAATCCTTCGGACACCTTCAGATTGTGTTCCCCAGGGCCTCATGGTCAGACTATTTGTTATAGGGAAATTCTTATTTTCTCCATACATACCAGCTTAGGGTACGAACAGGTTCAAATTAAGCCTTCTTAGATGAATTCACAACACATAGTAACAAGAGAACGAGCATAAAATTTACTAATATGCCAATGTGCATGGGAGCTACACACAAGGTAGAGACTCAAAGGAATGACCAGATGCTAAATAGCATTTTGAGCTACAGAAAGACAGAGGGGACTGAAACTCCTGGCGAGAAGTGGCAGTGAGTTATGGGAGGGTAAAGGGAAGAAATGTACTTCGGAGGAGTTGTCTTACTATACTGACAAAACCTCCCAGTAATCCTTCAGAGTGGCTTTCAGAAGAACAGATGAAAAGCCTGTTTCGGTGTTAGTGACCTTTAGTATTTTTCTTTTTTGGTAGTTAATATTTCCTGGTTATTTAATGAGATTCATAGGGAGAGGGTTTAAAATAATTCCATTTCTTTATCCTCTCTTTCTCCTCCTCCTTTTCATTTTTTAAAGAAAATTCTTTAGCCAGATAAAGGATTCAAGGAAGACCAAGAGGCATCGGGGTCAGGGAGGTTAGAACATTGATTCTAAGGCTTTTTCTAGTTTGGCAAGTCAAAGTGTCACCTTTTAGAGTATTTTTTTTTTCTTTTTGTGCTCTAGCACAATGCCTTGACTGGGAAGACTAAGTACATATTTCTTAGCAGTTCTGTGCCCCCTGGCCTTCCACCTCTCACATCAAGAGGCTCTCACAAGGGCCTGCATCCTGGGTGCAGCATGGTGTGAATCCCACCAAATTTGAGCACATGTAAAAGCAGGTTTAAAAGGCCACTGGTGTAACTCTGGGGAAGGAAGGGAGTCCCATACAGTGCTTGCTCCTGGAGTTGGGGAACATAAACTGGAGAAGGCCTGTGTTTCCTTTTTGATGATGGTGGTGCTGATGGTGATGGTGGCGGTGGCAGTGGTGGTGTTGATGGTGGTGATGATGGGGATTTTGGTGGTGACGTTTGTGGTGATGGTGATGATGATGACAGTGATGTTGATGGTGGTGATGGTAGTGGCGGTGATGATGATAATGGTCATGTTGGTGGTGGTGGTGTTAGTGGTAATGGTGATTCTGGTGGTGATGGTGGTGAATGGTGTGGTTTTATCAGTTTTCTTGATTTTTTAATGCCTAAATGGATCCGTATGTGTTGCCCCTACCCTATTCCATGCCTTGGCTTTTTACCTTTCACAATCCCTGCTCAGTAGCAACAGAGTAATTATGGTGGTCACATTGCCCCCCAATTCCCTTGAGTTAATTGGAGGCAGGAAAGTTGCATGAAGCAATGTTAAGTAACCCTTTCCTCACTGCTGTTTCTTCCAGGCAGATCCCCACACCCAAGGAGAGCCGAACTCAGGTCCTAGTTTCTCTAGCATTTAATGAACAGAACACATGGTACAGCCTCCACCCCCGCCGTAACATTCTTATTCCCAGAGAGAAGCAGTGGTGTGAATAAGCTAGATGAGGGGTAATTCCCAGATAGTTATTTCCATGTCCGTATGAAACACAGTTTCTAGTTTTCTTGATAATTAGTGAACTTGTATTTCTTACTATGCTTAGCTCAGGTGAGTAGTTATACAAAGTTATACTTCCTGAAATTCTAGAAATTGGAGCAGGAAACAATCAAAGATACTAGGCTCAAAAAAACAAATGTCTTGGGAGTGTTTGTGAGGATGATTGAGACAGAGGCTTGGTGGAAGAGTCTTAATGGCTTAGAGGGGAAAAGAGAAAACAGCCAAGCCCATTTATCTACTGTTTAGGAGGGACTAATATCTACACTTTTTTTTCTTCAGTACTGGGATTTGAACTAGGGTCTTTGCAGTGAGCTACATTCCCAGTCTTTTTTATTTGGAGACAAGTCTCTTGCATAGGCTGGGCTTGAACTTTGGAATTATTGAACTTCCTGCCTTAGCCTCCTAGAGTGCTGAGATTACAGGAATGCAGTCCTGAACCTAACTCATACTTTTGAATCCTTTGGAAAGTGTTTTGGAAAAGTATCAAAGATTTAAATAAGAATTGACTAGAGAGTTCCGATTTCTCTGGTGAAGATGTTAGTTTGGCTTGTTATGTTTCACAGGAAAGTGAGCTTAGGAAAGAGACTGGAACTTGCTCACAGATCCTCTTTTGACTTGGAACATTTACTCTTCTGACTTTTCCTTGATCTTTCAATTTCAGATCACTTGACTTTGTTGAAATTGTTTTCCTCATAAAACTGCGACCCTTAGTTACTTGGATTGCCCCTGTTGCCTCCTTCAGGGAACCGAGCTTTTATAACGAGAGGGCTGAGGGAGTCCCAGAGTGTTTTGAACCAGAAGAGCTGGCTCTGGATCTTTGAGTGGGTTGTAAAGTGGGGCTGGGAGATGTGCCTGTACTTGGAAGCCAAGGGCACCCCTGGCTGGCTAAATTGGTTGATGATCTTTGTACACTAAGCATAAAAACATATTAAAAATCTTATTGATATCTTCCAGATCTTGGTGTCTTATTTTTTGTGTACTGGATTTGACATTTTACTTTTTTTGGCCCTGATCTGTGGTGACATCAAGTTGTTTTCCCCCAACATGACTCTTTCTAGCCACCCAGAATGAAGAAGTTGGCAGAGCTGCAAAGGATTCAACTTTCTCATCTTAGAGATCCCCCTCCCCAAAGCAGGGGAGCTCATATCTGGTCTAAGCCAGAAGCCTTGGGAGGATTGGGCTCAAATCTACAACTTCTGACTTCTTAGCCTATGACATTTAGCCTTTCTTTTGGATGAATGATGCACCCAAAGTTGAATATTGTTCTATTGTGATCATATGCAGGTCCTTTGGGCACAGAGAGCCAGGAAAAAGGAGGGGGCAGGCAGGAGACTCAGAGGAGGCCTGGCTGATGTCACTTGCAAACTTTAAATGAACCAGTAGTGTGAGGACTTAGAAGAAGCCAATAGAGGGTCTGGAATGAGGTTGCAGCCAAATGCATAAGGCTTTAACTTTTCTGGGAAAGAGGCTGGGTGATAGGGAGGACATTAGAGTGGCAGATAGGCTAGTGGACAGACATTACCCAACAATAGTGAATCTCATTGTTTTCCCCTAATGGAAAAATGGAACTGAGTCCAAGAGAGCTGGATGTCTATAGTTCCTGTCCTCTACAACACATCCCAGGCCTGGGATGTCTTAAGGCTTCTTCCTGGGATCTCATAGAGATTCAAAGTCAAGAGGAGGCACTTTCTGTCTTCCAGAAACTTTAGCTTGATACAGGCTTAGATGTGCTCACTGACATCCCTGGCCCAGAGCCACAGAACAGGACCAGAGATCCTCAGGATCCTAGGGCCGTGTGTGTGTGTGTGTGTGTGTGTGTGTGTGTGTGTGTGCACGCGCGCGTGGTTAGGCACAGACAACAAAGAAGACTGTTGATCAAAGGCCAATGAGAGGAGGAATGTGGACTGGCTTATACAGCCCGATAGGATGGGAGAGAGAGTAGTCCTGGGAGCCTCAGAGTATGAACTTGTACCTTTGGATGGAGTCCAGGTCTAGGAGGATCCTTGCTGGGCAGAGGGGTTGGACAGGCTGATGAGTAGGTGGGAAAGAGGTGATGGAAGGAGTTGGCTCTGGCATAAGAGGTCTACACTTGTGCTGGAATGTGGTTTGGAGTAGAGTTCAGGCTGCTGAGCCGTGGAGGCCAAGGAGGAAGACTTTAGGGGAACTGGGGCCGTCATCCAGGCCTACATGTACTAAGGACCAACTAGAATCAGGCTAAGGAGTAGGACAGGAAGAGGTGGAGTCACTAGGGAAGCGCTGGATGGGGCTGGACTAGAATTGGTGAGTTGGTGTTGGGAAGAGAACAGAGACACTGTAGCTCACAAGACCATGTATACTTGCATTGCAGCAGCATTTATTGAAACACAGATTGGGACAACTCAGAAGACAACTCACTCACAGACATAACCAGAGGGGGACCCAGGAAATGGCCTTATGTTCTCATTTACCAGCTTTGCACTGGACAGACCCCTCCTGCATCTAGCAGAGGGACATCTGGAACAGCCGTGGAGTCTTTGAAATGTATAAAGGTGCATTGTCTCCAAAGTGTCCTATCAGGAGGCTATAGGCAAAAGGATTCTCATGAAAATGAGCCTCTCCACTGCAGATCACATGAGGAGTTTGGGCTGGAGTAGGGTCATTTAGAGGCAAGCAGGGAAGTAGAGAGACAAGCAAACACAACCAAGAATAAACTGGCAGTGTTGGCCATCTACTGGGGATGGGACACTTCTCTGATTCCCAGTTTGTGGGAGCTTTGGCTAGGTGGCTATAAACACACCTTGACTCAAGGAAAGGCAAGCTCCCACACTGTCCCAGCCATTTTGGGTGACTGATAGCATCCCAGAGAGCCTGGTGGATAACACACACTGGTCACAAGGGTCTGGAGACAAAGTTGGAGTTAAGCAAAGGGCTGGGAGTGAACCTTCTAACTGAAGTGGGGAGAACTAGGGAGCAACTCCCTAAAATGAGAAGGTGGAGGAGAGTGACCCAAGGGTCTTCCCTCTAGGAACATCTGGAAGATTCTGGAAGCAAGCACACATTTTCCATTCATGCACCACTCAGTGCCAGGGAAGACTGAAGTGAGGCAGAGGTCCCCACGCTATGCAAAGCGCACCGACCGACTGCTCCCACAGCTGAAGCTGGAGGCACGGGGCTGGCAGGGACTGCAAGAGTCTGGGGCCATCACCGTGATGCTGCCCCCAGTTGCAGAGGGGCCAGAGGTGATCTGGCGCCCTGGAGTGGTGCCAAATGTGAGGCCTCCACAGGTGACTCCACCACGGGAGCTGCTGACACCTGTAAAAGGGAAGACATGCGAGGTGAGGAGCTCGCTGGGGTCTCCCTCAATCTGTGATAGACCCTGGGTCATCACATTGCAGGAATCACCTTCTCCTCTTCCTTTAGTGGTCAGTGACAGAAGACCTGGTGCTTGAACCTCACCACATATCTAGAGGAAGTTAGCACTGGGGGACCCATTTCCATGGCCTGCAGTTTGCTGTGGCTGCCAGTAAGGGGCGCTCAACTCTTTCCTCCACTTTACTTGGTCTCCAGTGAGGGGCCCAGAGGACCAGAGGCTCTTTGTCAGTGGGGAGAACATTCCGGGATCAATGGATTAGGCCAGTGGGTTCAGCTTCATCTACCACTAAACCCAGTTTCTAAGGGAATTTCAAGCAGATACTTACAGACATTCACGGAGCCCACGCCCTCGCACAGCCTGGGGGAGAAGAAACTCCATTAGTTTTAGGGCCTGAGCTGAATTCATTGAGACAGATGGTTGCTTGGGGACAGAAAGGGTCATCCTGTTCCTGTGTGTGTAGTCAGAAAGGGTTCCCCCAAATCTGTGTTCAGTGAGCTCCTTCTTTTGTGGCTCTTCACACATGGATGCCAGCACTTCCGGTTCCCAGCAGTAGGGGATGAGATCATGGTGTCTGTGTGCTGCCTCAGGTCTGAGTGCTTACCCTACCCCAGTGCCAATGGTTTCACAGCCAGGACGATGGAACCAAGCTCTCCAGGGTGTGTGTCAGGGCCCAGTGGTGAAGTAGAGCTATTTGCCTACGGGTTGCATTGTCAGTACTGTGCCTAAGCCCATGTGGCGGGTGCAGCCCCACACAGACGCTGCATGACAAGCATTGGTTGTCGAAGTGCAGGAACTGGGTTCAGGTCCCAGCTCTTCTGCTTAGTAACTGTAGTTATGAGCAGGGCACTGAACACTAAGGCTATTTCTATATCTTTGGTTGGGGAAAAAGAACACCTACTTCATTGAATTGTGAGGATTACCAAAAAGCACATTTAGCACAGAATCAGCATTTGATGGCTTGTTACTACTTTTGAAGCTGCTAGCCTGATTAGCATTACAGGTCACACTGGGGCTCAAGATGGGTCACTCTAGAAGGATCAGGGATCCATGTTCTCCCATCCAAGTACTCACTAGATCCAGTTCTGCTTATCTGCTAGGATTGGGTACATTCAGGGCAATATGACTCTAGACTAGACCACTCCCCTCAACTTTCACAAGGTTTTCCTTAGCCTCACCTGTGCTCCTCTCCCTCCAGCAGGCGCCTGTAGGTGGCGATCTCGATGTCCAGGCCCAGCTTGGAGTTCATCACCTCCTGGTACTCCTTGAGCAGGCAGGCCATATCCTGCTTGGCCTTCTGCAGGGCTCCCTCCAGCTCAGCCAGTTTGCAGCGGGCATCGTTGAGGGTTGCTTCACCCTGCTGCTCTGCCTCGGCCACAGCAGCTTCCAGCTTGGCTCTCTATGAGGTGGATACATGAAGATAAGAGAGAGAAAGAGAGCCTAGCTCATCCAAGGAGACAGAGCTGGGATGGGGTACAGGGGTAGAGTCTTAGAGGGCATGTTTGGTCCATGCCGGGTAGTTATAAGGCTGTGGACATGAGGAAGTGAAGGGCAGGCTTTATACCATCTCTCCCTCATGGTTGTTATAGGGCTGCCAAAGAAAGGCTCCATTGCTTTTTGGAAACCAGTGTTAGGGCTCATTCCAGCTCAAGTGCTGTGTGCTGGTGGGGAGCTCTTGCCCTAGGTCTGGGTCACTGTTATTTGACTGTGCGGTCTGAGCTGAGCCTCTGCTCTCCTGTGGGCAAAGGGCCTGGTGTTACAGGCCACCCGTGCTGGGCGTTTGAGTCTTCCCTGTAACCTGCCTGGCACTTGGCATTCTCTATCTCGGCTGTCAGCCTCTGGATGATGCGGTTCAGCTCATTGATCTCCTCCTTGGTGCGACGCAGGGTCTCCCCATGGCGGATCACCGTGGCCTTCATCTCTTCACACTACAGAAAGCAGAGATGCTCATGAGACTTAGGATGGGACATCACGCTCCTTTAAACACCTTCAGTGACTTAGAGGTGCAGGTTGTATAGGGTTCAGCTCATGGAACCACTCATGGTGACTGTGGCCTGTTACATCAACCCTTTCTAATCATCGTCAGGGTAAAAGAATCTTTTCTAATAGAATCCCTCCCGTTGCCATGCCTAGGAGGCTGGTGTCCTGAGCCATTCACCTTGGTGCGGTACCAGGACTCAGCCTCGGCCCGGGTGCGGCTGGCAACATCATCATACTGAGCCTTGATCTCGGCAACAACACAGTCCATGTTCAGGTCCCGGCTGTTGTCCATCTTGACGATCACTGAGGTGTCTGAGATGTGGGCTTGAAGAACACGAATCTCCTATGGGACCAACAGCCAGTGCATTTGAGTCTGGTGTCTCACCTGAGCCATGTGCCCCACCTCTGGAGACATGTTCACTCCCTGGAGGCCACTGGCCAGGCATGGCACATGACTCCCACCCCTACTACTTTCATTCATGCACAAGTCCACTACAAAGCTACAGAGCTCTAGAGGGCCTTGGCCCTTATCTGGGGACAGCCTCTGATCTAACACGGACAAACTGAGGCCCACAGTGTGAAAAAGGCCTGATCCAAAGGCACCCACTAGGGGGGCTAAATGCCAGGCAGGGTGATCTGTTCACTAGTTAAGCCCCTCCCCATGCAGTGACCTACCCCTGGCCAAATACACACACTTTTGTACCTATCTATAGACCAAGACCCACAGAGATCACTGCAAAGATGTGCTCACTCTAGTTTTCAGAGCTGCTCATAGACACAAAAGAGACAAGCATACGTGCTTTCCATAATTCTCACACATGTGAACAGAAACGTGATGTTTAGGTGCACACAACATGCTCTGGACTGTGGGCCCTCTCATATGTGTGTGTGGTCTTTTCTCATATATCACACTGGCAACCACAGGACTCACAGACACTCTGTTCCCCTCCCACACCTTACTGGTTGGCAGGTGTCCCTCACCTCTTCATAGAGGCGCTTCAGGAAGCTTGACTCCTCCACTAGCGCCTCCACATTGGCCTCCAGGTCTGATTTGCGCAGGTAGGCACAGTCCACATCCTGAGGTGGAGCGAGGAAGAGGAGCATGCATAGGGAGGAGATGCAGGAGGGTGCTTGGTCAGCATGGTGATGGTGCCCCACCCTGGAGGTGGCACTGATGGGTCCCCTCCCTCCTTCCCTTGCAACCAGCCCTCTTACTTACCTTCTTTAGAACCACAAACTCATTTTCTGCTGTGGCTCTCAGAGCTACCTCCTCTTCGTACCTGGGCATGGAAGAGAGAAGGGCTGGAGCTGATAGTGTGGACCTTAAACTCCACCACAGTTCCTGGCCAAGTCTTCCAGGATCTAAAGGGATACCTTCTCCACCTGTCACCTTGACTTCTCCATGATCTACTTGTGTATCATTCATAGGCTAGCCCTCCTCCCAGCCAGGATTCACACCTCCCAACTGGGAGGAGATCAGGGTGTATTCCTCAGGTCTAGTACTGGCTGTATATCCTAGAGAGTGAATGCCATTGGTGGGGAAGGCACAGAATTCACTGCACACGAGAAGAGGGTAGGAAAGAGGCAGATAGGACTCTGCTGAGCTCCTTTTTTCACTCCCTTGAATACTATTTTGAAGATTCACGGGAACTTTGAGAACTATAGGGAACCTTAGAAATTTGCGGGGGGTGTAAATTTCAGAGGAAAGCTCCTGTGGGTCTCTGGCAGCCTGGTTAAAGAGTGGAAGGCAGAACTTTCCAGCCTTCCTCTGAGTTGGTCAGCACACTCACTTCTTCTTGAAGCCCTCCAAAACCTCCTGCACGTGGTTGAGCTCTGCGGCCAGCCTCCCGCCATCGGCCTCCACACACTCGGCCTCCCGCCTCAGCGTCTGCACGTAGCCCTCAAACAGCGGCTCCAGGTTGCTCTGGCAGCACTCACGGTTCTGGTAGAACTGCCATTTAGTCTCCAGCAGCTTGTTCTGCTGCTCCAGGAAGCGCACCTGTTCATGGGAGGGAGGAAAGACTTAGTGGAGAACAAGGGGAGGCATCTGGTTTTTGGATGTTAGCTGAGCAGGGCTGAGCTATGGGGTTGAGGGTTTAAGATCCAAGGGACCCCATTCCTAGGCTCCAGGGAGGCAGCTGTGAGTGTGAGAGACAGTGACCCAGGCTTAGTGCAAAGACAAAGGTCTAGTCCATGTCCCAGTTCTGCCACTTGAAGTGGGCAAATTTGATACTGGGTTTTCTAAAGTAGAGATAACGGTGATAGAGTTGTTGGGAAGACAGAGCCAGTTAATACACGCAAAGTACCCAGAACCACCCCTAACTGTCAATCAGTTCAGTTACTGAAATAACCAGCTGTCCTTCATTTACTCATTCATGCAACAAACTCGTATTGAATATTCACATAGATATGTCTACATCCAGGGCATCTTTCCATAGATTTCAGTTACCACGATACTGTGAGGGGATATTTGTCCCATGTTACAGATGGGGGGACTGAGACTGCTGAGGTATGAAACAACCAGCTCATGGTAGGTGATAAAGTAAGAATTTCATGTCCCTTGAGTCTCTGTCTACTGCCTTCACATGCCCACAATATTTCTGAACAGCTCACGTAAACAAGGCTCCAATTTACTATTGAAAAATGAAGGTAACACATACGCCATTGAGTCATACTGAGGATTAACTATGATCACTACAGAATAAGTGATAACAGGATAGTCACACTCTCAACCCCCAGATTCCTGATCCAACAAGGCTGGTCCTTTTCTCTTCCCACACCTCACTGGGAAGCAGCCTCCCGGCTGTGCAGCCAACCTCCCCGGCTACATCCCAGCCCTCCATCCATAAAGAGGCTGCCAAGCCTGGGTTGGCTAACTATTCCACCTCTTCACCTACTCCCGTCTTTGGAAAATAGTAACAGCTGTCATTTACTGAGAGCTGTTATTTGCCAGCATTTTCCATGCACAAGCGCATCAGCCCTCACCACAAGCTGGTGAGGTGAGTCCTTGCTGTCCAGAGGGACAGACTGCTCCTGGTCTCCTTGTTGAATGGCTCAGCAAGGACTTGGGGAGCAAAGTGTCCAGAGCCCACGCCACCACTTCTGCTGCTGCCTGGGCCATAATCCATAGTGCTTTTTGTTCTGTTATCTTCTACTCTCCCCACACTCAATCATCATTCCAGTTTCCTGGGGACAGCTCTGTCACTGCTGTGTATCTTGTCGGCTGAAACACAATCACCCTTTAGGGCACAGACTCAATTTCTAGGCCATGCCTGGACTTCCACAAACTTAGCTAAAGTTAAGTGATGACAGTCATCTTCCTAGCTGTACTGGTCTGCATTTCCTCCCTCTGATGTCTCAGACCTGGCAGACTGGGCCCTTCTGTAGTGATAGGCAGGGTTGAGGTCTTCTCTGGACCATTTCTGGTCTCACTGACCTTGTCGATGAAGGCAGCGAACCTGCTGTTGAGGCACTTGATCTGCTCCTTCTCCTCGTGCTTCACGCACTGCGCATTGGGGTCGATCTCCAGGTTGAGGGGTGTGAGGAGGCTCTCGTTGACCGACACGCTGGTGATGCAGGGCGGGCTGGGGCCGCACACGCCTCCAGAGCGGTAACCGAAGCTACGCCCGCAGGACCCGCTGCGGAAGCCCCCAACGGCCATGCGGGGCCCATAGGAGCTGGGGTTACAGAGGCTGCGGCTGCTGAAGCCAGTCAGCCCCCGGTAGCAGGACACCCCTCGGTAGGGGGCGGCGGTGATGCAACATCGGTTGCCGGTTCTAGGGGCCACAGCTGAGCAGGAGCTGAAGTTTCTGGTGACCCCACATCCTGAGCTGATTCTGTAGGAGCGGCAGGACATCCTTTGGGTCTGAGCGGAGTCTGAGCAGTTGTGGAGGTTGGTGTGGACTGCCAAGTGCCAGGCTTAGGGTTCTCCTGGTCTCTGATCCTCCCGGGTCCTTTTATTGGTGGGGAGAGCTGGCGTTGGCTGCATAAAAGGAGTGAAAAGGCATTTTATGTTGTTTATTGGCTTGGGGAGTTTGCCAGCAACTCCCAAGGACTCGTCTTAAAGGTGAGCTCAGCAGTGAGTTGGGCTCCGTAAAAGTATTGAAGATGTTATTAGGGACATTGTACGTTTGCACTTTTCATCTTCAAAGCTGGTTTACATACATTAAGTAATTAATTTTGCAGTCTCTCTGTGAGAGAGCTGCAACCCACACTGGGAGACAGATTTGAACTCCACAACAGTGCGGGGGTGGGTGGATTTGGGATACTAGTGGAGGCCATTGTCTCGTGGGAGAGGTTCTGGGTCCTAGGCTGGGTGAACCCTGGAAATTATTGCTTCTATCTACCTGGCTCTTTGTAGGACACAGTCTCAAGTATATCACTGTCTTGAGGTGATAGAACAATAGTATGCACAGGCATCCAGGAATCATGGACTGGAAAGTGGTTCAGAGGGTCCTTCTGCTCATGCTATTTCCAGAGACATGGAACAGATGGTCATTTGGAACTTTCTGGGGTTCAGCCCAGAGGGCTTTGTTTCACTTGTCATCGAGCAAAAGTACAAACCACTCACTTTTCAGTGGTTACAGTAATGAGCACTTGTGGGTAGTGGGGGAGACTTCCGTTCAGCCGCTTTCTTTCATGTGAGCAAAATGATGGAGAATGCCCTTTTAAGCTTGCTCTAGACACCTTCCCTTTGTTCTTTAGGAAGAAACAGGTCCTGTGAGTCTTTCCTTCTTTCAAGACCCTGGTGGAGGAGGAGTTACTGTAGTTTGCCTCGCCAACCCAGAACTGTCACCTAAGACGAATTCCTGGAGACTGCTCTGCCCAAGGTGGGAGTGGGACGTGGCCCTGTCTAGCTGAGAAAGCTCTGATACCTGGTATCTGGCTCCTGGGGACTCTAGGTTCCTTGGCCTTCTAGTGTCTCTGATTCCTTGTGTGTTTTGGGTCCTTGTGAAGGTAATAAAGCTATTCTTTTCATGTTTATTCAGCACGGACCATGAGGATGTGGTCTCTTCCCCCTGACCTCACTGTTGTTCCTGTTGAAAGCATCCCTATTGCCCTGACACCAGCAGAGAGTGGGCCTGTTCGTGGCTGCCCGTGGCCTCCATCTCTCCTGCACATTACAACTCCTTTACCCTTTCACGTGTTCCTTTAATGTTTTCTTAGCCTGATTTCACACACATAAAAATTTTAGGTGGAGTCTGGGGGGATGGAGAGTGAACACCGTATTGGGGGAGCACAGGAGACTACTACTAGGCCCCACCCGGGATGGTGACTCTGCTCCTGAGGTGTGTTCTAGGGCTTTGGACAGTGAATTTGCAGACTGACTGCTGGATAGGTTGAAGCTGGTGTGCTGAGGGCCAGATTCAGGAGGCACACATGGCAAAGCATGGGAGACAGTGGAACGTTAAACTCCCCTTGTGTCCAGAAGCCATGCACCCTTGCAATTTGGTGACAATGATTGAGCTAGAACCATTTCTCTCTTTGTGGGCAGTAGGGAGTGATATTTTGTTCCAGTGGGAGACTCTGTCCCAGCAAGGGTCTGGGTTTGCTGCTTCCCCTTGCCACACACACACACACCCACACCCACCCCCCCCCACCCCTCCTCCACTTGGATTGGGGTCTGGGAAACAGGGTAGGCATTCATGAGACACAAGGACAGCCCTACTGTTTTCAGGTACTGGAGTGGGGCCAAAAGCCTGGAACAAGGGTGCATCTGGCTGTGCCAGTGTGTGGGGAGTGAGGAAACACTGGCCGTGTATTCGGTGTGCTCTTGCTGCATCTCGTGTGCTAAGCCGAGGGATGGTTGAGTGCTCAGGTTGGCCACCGAGTCTGGGTTCAGGAAAAGAAAAGAAGGAGTCTGACTGTTTCTGGCTTGTCCCAAGGGTCCCAGAGTGGGTGAGAACCTCACAGCCAGGTCAGTCTGGGACAGCTCTCCTAGAGACACCTGGGCTTTGCTGTGTGGTTCTACTCTAGGGAGGCACAGAGACTCATATTCCCTGCCTAGTTCTGCCCATTGTCCGACTGATGGGGGGGTGGTGAGACCTAGGTCCTTGCCCTGAGGGTCAGGCTCTTCTGGAGGCTGGATGGAAGCTCCTTTCACTGGCCTCATCCTCACTCACTGCCCATCTGCACCCTGTTGATTTCCTGCACTGAACCTCTCTCTTCACCTCTAAGCCATCTCTCTAGTCATACCTTTGTCTGAAATGTTCCAGAAAAATCCCTTGTGAACTAGTCTGCCAGAGGTTGTGATTTCTCCTCCTTAGTGTTTCATGAAGCATCCTCTCTGGGTCTTCTCCAGAAACTCCCAATGATCTTCCCTGTCCAGGAGGGACAGGAGGGCATGAATTCCCAACCTGTTTCCAAGACCCCATTCCAAGCAGAGGAGGGATGTGTGTGTGTGCGCGCGCGCGTGTGTGTGTGTGTGTGTGTGCATGCGTGCACACACCTGCATTTTGGGACAAAGAAAAGCAGCAAACACAGACCCTTGCTGGCACTGTCTTAGGTGCTGTCACCCATCACCCTCTGGTCCAGTTCCCTGCTGGTCCCACAACCTTGGAGACACCACCCCCTGTGAGAATATCTACTTAGGAATCCATGCCTTTCTCACAACTCAAGATGCTCCCAAGAGGCCATTTCCAGGTGGTCTCCAACAGCTAATTGGGAGGGTTTCCCTGTTCAACCTGCAGTTCCTGCGAGTCTGAGACTCCCTCTGAGTCTGCTCCACTCCGCACAGCACACACGCTGGGTCTCTTTGGCTGCACCACTCGCATCTCAGCCCACTCAGGACTCATCCAGCCTCCTCTTGCATTTGGCTCATGCTGGAGTGCCTTGGGTTAATTGCTCTTCCTGTAAGAGGGTCACTGCCTCCTTCTCTTCTGCTCTTTCTCCTGTGCTAATCAGTGCCCTTGCTTCCAGGAAGACTTCCTGGATGTGCCAGCAGGTAAGAGAACCCTGAGGCCTCCCCTAACTTTGCGTGTCCTTAGAGCTGGCTATGGACCTTCCCAGCTTTGCATTTGTATCTTCCTTGGCTTTTACAAGCTCTCCTGACTGGAGGGCTGTCCTGAGTCAACCCTGATGGTTGACAAGCCCTGATGAGGTCCCAAGCAGGACCTCATTGCCTACCCACATAGAATCAGCTATATGGAATTGGGCACAGCTCTTCCATTCTCCTGGCCACACTTTCATTATGCACCCAGTCCTGTACCACCTGCCTCTGCTCTTAATGGGTTTTCTGAGCCCTGTGACCATTCCTTTGGTTTTTATAGGCTGGGGAATGACTCAGAGTCCCTGTGTGGGAGGAATGAAGGTTGAAAAACAAGGAGCAGCAGGATGAACAACTGTCTCGTCCCCAGAGTGCCCACACTGCTCCTGGCCTGCCTCTCCTTTCTTCTCACAGTTTCCGTACCCAGATCTCCAGGAAGCTGCACTGTGCTCCTGAACTCTGCCCGCCTGGCTTCCTGCGGGCACTTTCCCTGTTGGCTTTGCTGTCCCTGCAGCTGGTCTGAGTCCGAGCAGACATTCAGTCAACACGGAATTTCTCATTTCAGAATTGGACTGCATTCATAGTTTTGAAAATGTTCATCTCAGTGCTGTGGGGAAAAAGGAACACTTTTCCACTCTTTGTGGGAGTGTAGACTGGTGCAACCACTGTGGAAATCAGTATGTGGGAATCAAAAAACTAGGACTGGAAGTCCCATTCAATTCAGCTATTCCCCTCCTGGGTATTTTCCTAAAAAAATTGAAAATTTCATGTCACAGCAATATATGTACACCCATGTTTATAGCAGCACAGTTTGTAATAGCTAAATCTTGGAAACAACCAAAATGTCCATCAGCCACAGGGTGGATGAAAAAGATGTGGTATTTTTCTACAATGGAATATTACTCAGCTATAAAAAAGATGATCTTGAGGCTTTTATAGGAAAATGGAGGCAACTTGAAACTATCTTCATAAGTGAAATAAATCAGACTCACACTTGTAAATATTGTATTGTCTCTCTAAATTATAATAAAAAACTGAAAAAGTAATAAGATCCAAAATGTACAATAGATACTGTAATAATGGAAGGGAAAGGAAATGCTCAAAAAGAAAGAACAGCATGTAGGTATACACATATAACTGTATAAATGTTTAAGTATGCAAGATAGATGACCATACTACTAATTCTCTGTTAGTTCATCAGAAAAATAGTTTGTGCTGTCATTGCTTATTTGTTCATATTTTATGCTTTGATTTTATAACTTAAGCAACCATTTCTAAGACAAAAATGTATAATATATTAACTAGTGTTGATTTCTATTTTTTGAAATTCTGTATTATTTCTACTCTTTTTTCTGTTTTTGCTTTTTAAAAATAAAACAATTTTTTAAAAAGAAAATAATTATCTTGTCTTTTTAGCAGTAGAACCATTTCCCTTAGGAGCAAAGCAACTACACAAAGCCATAAAATTGTCCCTGAGTATCTATGGGGGATTGGTTTTAGCACCACCAGGATACCAAAACCCAAAGATGTTCAAGTCCCTTGTATACAATGGTGTACAGTATTGCACATAGTTTACATACCTGGTGCAATATAAGTGCTGGGTAGTAACCGTTATACTGTTTTGTTTAGAGGATCACAATAAGGAAAAGAAGTCTGTAATGTTCAGTAAGACACAATTTTTCCCCGTCTGCCTTTGGTTGAATCTATGGGCATGAAATCGTGGTACTGATGAGGACGGTCTATTTGCTTCTGTAAGTGGCTATAGATGCGGGAGATTGTTACACTAGTCTCTTTGTTTGCTGCTTGCCCCTACACTGCATTCCCTGCACAGGAAAGTGAGCTGGTAACATATTAAGTTGGGCTGCTCCAATGCCCCAGAGACCTCATCTGGAGTTTCAGTGTTGGCCTGTGATGCCTAGTTTTGCTTTGCCCTGTTGCTAACTCTCTCACTTGGTTTCTTTCC